CCCTGCCTCCTAAGTTTCCATAATGTCATCAGATTATGGATAGATTAATCCGCTGAGGTCAGGCCCCTCATGACCCAGTCACCTTCTGGAAGCCCCACCAATGGATGTGTGAGACTTTGGGAGAACATTCTAGATCTGAACCATAAGACAGAAGAGCCATCACATTAGAGTGATCCACCCACACCCATGTTTATAGCTGCACAGACTCGTAACAGCTAAATCATGGAAATGACCCAGATGTCTGTCAACAGATGAACAGAAAAAGAAAGTGTGGGATTTATATACAATGGAGTAGTACTCTGCCATAAAGAAGGATAAACTTGAGTCATTTAAGGGAAAATGGATGCAACTTGAGACCATAATGTTAAGTGAAATAAATCAGACACAGAAGGTTAAATACCACACAGTTTCTCTAATATGAGAGACCCGAAAATATGAATAATTTAAAGAGCAAAGTAAAAGAGACATGTTAGGCAGGTAGGCTCTAGGGATGGGAAGGGGATGTGGGGCAGGAGGGAGAGGAGAGGACCGGGCAAGAGGAGTAACATAGATCACGATGCGATACGTATGCGTATCAACCCCCAAGCTCAGTGTGGTCACTGATTCGCAAAGGTATACAATGAAAAGTTTGCAAAAGAGAAACTAGTTGGCCTTTGTATTTAAAAAGAGGGACGTAGAAAGCTCGGATGGGGGACGCTGACGCCTCGCCTCGGCAGAGCAGCCCTGCAGAGATGTGCTTGGAGGACAGGCACGCTGCCTGTTTTACTCTCTGACCCCAGGAGGTGTCAGCTGTGCCTGTGTAGCCTTCCGTTACCATGGCGACAGCAGCAGTGGGGCACTGGCACAAGTCCCTGTGCAGCAGTGAACCTCACTGCACGTACTGCTGTGCTGTGTGACACCTCGCAGGTCAGCTCTGCCCAGAGTCCCAGATTCAGATGAGATTGTCCAGCACCTCTCACTTCCTTCACATCCCAGCTCTTAGCGCGGGTTCATCTTTTGCTCGTAAAAACCAAAGCTGTCACTTTGGGGAAACTGAAAGAACACAGCCCGTGCCCCATGTCGCCACCACTCAGAATGTCTTCGTCTGCTGGTGTCCTCATGCAGCCGGCCACTGCTGTCACTGCCCTGTAGAAGTTTCCAGCCTCATCAGTTTCTCCAGCACCAAAGCAAAAAGGCACCTTGCACTGTGCATCCTCGGAGTCGTGTCCGTCACGGCGACACCGCTTGACAATGCCCTTTCCACGGAGAGCACAGACGCTGAGCAGCCACACTGCAGACGGGGCATTGATGGCACTGTCAGCGTCGATGCGACGCTGGGCATCACAAACGCTTGGACCCTGCAGCTCGTTTCAGTTAAGAAGACATAAGTCCCCAATGAAGAATCCCTGAAGTCTTGAGTTTATTGTTCCCTATGAAGGAAGAAAGGGCCGAAATCCCATAGACGTTGCATTAAAGCCATGTTTTCATAGAATCACACATTATCTTCATGCTAGTGTCTTTGAGATTTAATGTCATCATCACTTCATTTTTATTCATTTCTTGTGCTAAACTTATTATTAAGAATAATAGAAGTACTTGGACCGGTTTAATGGACCTTGGCCCTGAGATGTGTGAGCTAATTCCAATGGAATACAAACACTGGAATTGAAGCCAACCTTCTAGTTCTTTTGTATAAGAGTATAAGAGGTATAGGTTCTACTTGGTCCAATTGAGTTGGTGGTGGCACCTATTGAGTTAGAAGCAACAGCAGATCAGAGGAGGAGGAGGAAGTGTAGATACACGTGCCATTCTGTACCAGACACACAATCCAAGACTTCAACTGTGGAAAGTGTGTATGGGATGCTAGCAGTAGATTCAAAGAACTCCCTACACAATTGCTCAGCCCTCTTTCTCTTTTGAAGTGTTTATTTGTGTTGGGAGGGCTTTCATAATCTTATCCAATATGGGATTTTTTAAAACAGTATTTTGCATGTTCTGATAATTGTACAAATGAAACAAAAATGCTATCCTACGTTGGCTATCTAAAAATAATTGTGAAGATTCTGCCTTCAAGTACAGATAAAGTTTTGCTAGAAAATATGTACCAGGTCATAAAGAATATATTAAAACCAGAATGTGGACTTTCATTTCCAAAACTCAGTGGAATGGTGGGAATCTTTATGTGGATTTTCTCTGTATTCTAGATAGCAGGGTCCTTTGATGATTCGTTTACCAAGCTGACTGCTTTCATTTCATATGAGAATTACAGGGTAAAGTCTTAAGAGCCCAAACAATGTCATCTCGTTTTTGAAAAGTGTGACCTATTGATCCTCTCCATTGGGCTACTGGGACATTTTCTTGTATTTCTCAGAGGCTCCTGGTTAGTGTGCCTGAAGTTCAGGTGAGTCACCACTAGATGCCGCTCAACACATTCCCGTTTTCTTGGACTTCCCTTTCACGTTGGATGTGCAAGTTGGAGGAATTCTTGGACACATTGTATCCTGTACTGTAATTGCTCTGATTGCCTCCTCTACTGATCTGTGAGATTATGGAGGGCACACACGTTGACACACACACACATCCACTCACACACAGGCACAGGCTTTCAGGAGAGCAGGAAAGATAGGACATAGGAAAAGGACAGAGTTCCTTTTCGTGCAGTGCTCAGCCCTCTGCACTCTGAATTCAGCGACCTGAGTTTTCAGGTCTTGTAAGACCTGGGGGGTTCTTTTCCAGTCCCGTGTTCTTGGAAGTCGCAGTGCTGGCTTTTGCCCCGCATGGATCGCTGCAAGTTCAAGGCCAGCCTGGGCTACATAGTGAGTTCAAGATCAACCTGAATTGTGTAGCGAGATCCTGTCTCAAAACAACAGATAAGCAAACAAGTGAGATAAAAAGCTTGGCGCGGTGTGCATGCCTGTAATTTCAGCTCTCTGGGAGGCTGAAGCAAAACCACAGGTTCTAGTCGATTCTGGGCAATTTGAGGACTTTGTGAAAAAGGGGCTAGGGGTGCAGCTCAGTGCTGAGGCCCTGGGTTCAATCCCCAACAGTGAAAGAATGAGACGGTGAGATAAAGATTGCTATTAAAGATCACCCTTTGCTATCAAAATATACTCAAGACATTCATAGTTACATGGGACCATTCAATAAAAATTCCATTCAAGATAGTTTACAAAAAAAGTTTTAATTCAGTGAGTGATTCCTGACTATTTCTGTTGTTTCTCATTTCCTTCTTTATGAACACGCTAGGTGAATGCTTCTGTGTGCTTTATACGTGCACTAGGAGAGTAGTTGCTGCCGGAAACCTGGGAGCCCCTCATATGTGGAGGTGGCAGTGCTCACTTCCTGGCTTGTGCAGGGACTAGATGATGAACCACCTCGCGCACACCCTCTGGCTGCTCTGGGACCAGACCTCAGAGGAGAGGTGCATGGCCGGCAGGTTCTCATCTTCTCCCTCCAAATGCATGTACAGCTTGTACCAAGCCCATAATCTTCCCTTCTTATTATCATGTAGCATGGGAGGAACTACACCACAGAGTGGTAGAATAATTCTTTCAGGGTCGCACGGCTGGCCACACTCAGAATGCTGTTACAGTCGTTACCTTCGTCGTTCGCATTTGCAACAGTAGTGAAGTTTGCAGTTTTTCCTCTTGGTGTGAGGGCAATCCACAAGGGCGCTGATGTTCCAGGGAAGTAACAACATCTGATCTAATGAACATCCTGCCCTTCACAGTGCTGTGGATGCAGGTTCTCCTCAGTGGGACTCTGTCCAAGCTAATTAGCCTCACGCAGAGAGGTGGGCACTCTCTCTCTGCAGGCTGGCTCACTCCTGCTGCTGTCTCTGGGCCTCTGCTGTGCGACACCTCCTGATAGGCAGCTTGACGCTTGTTTAGGGAGTTGGGATGCAGGTGGTGTCTGCGCAAGTCTCGCTGGGTGGGTGGGCAATGAGATGGGGCCAGCAAGAGTCCCTGGAGGGGAGAGCAGGGCCAGGGCCCGAACTCGGTGCAGGGGTGGGAGGTCTGGGTGCACTGCACAGATGACACCAAAGGAGACAGCGACGGCCGTGGAGGGTGGGAGGGAATCTTGGCAGAGGACAAGAACAACAGTGTAGTTAGCACACGCTTCCCCAGGCTGGATGGAGCCCTTGGCAGCACGCACTCCAGGCAGCTGTGTCCTGTGCCCGCAGAACCAAGCTGGCCCAGACGGAGCATGGTGCTCAGCTGCTGCATGGGCCAGGCCCCCTTTGACTTCTGTACATGGACCAAAGCACCCTTTGTGCTGGGCTTGGCCAGTGTGTACCTTGGGTTCTCTCCCCATCTCCTCTTAAATCCTCGTCATGTGTCCAGAAGCAGCTCATGGGCTTCCCTGCCCACCTCGACCCCCTTGGCTCAGCCACATTCTGGCCTCTTCCCCAGTCTTGCTGACTTGGGTCTGGTCTTTGGATCTGAACATGAGGAGGCTGGACCTCTCTTCCAGCAGGAACAGAGTAGAGTACCAACTTCGCACAAGCGGCTCGGGTTCACTGCCGAAGGGACACGGCACACTGCAGCCCATGGGGCACGTGTTTTGTGGGGATCTTTACGGACCAGATCCCATCTGTCCTACATAAGCCATGGGCTCCTTAAACTTGTGATCCAAGTTTACTGCCTGATTCGCCTCTGCATTTCCACGGTGCTGGCACAGTGAGCCAGACTTGAGCTCAGCTGGAGATGCTGGGTATTTCCTGCTTCTCCTTGCCTATTCTCTTTGTGGTTTCAACACGGTTTTACCAGCACTAGGACCGTGTGCAGGTCCTGAGGCTCATAGTCAGATCCTTCTCATCTTTGTACCTCACAGGCAGCCTTTGTACCAGTGTGCTGACCTTGGTTTATACCCATTGGATGAACAACGGAGTGAAAAACGTGGCTCTTGGGGCTGCTCTTGCGTGACCTGGGTGGGTGACTGAGGCAAAAGAAAAGCAATGCAATGTGGGAAAACAATAATGTGCAGCACTTGTATTATTATTATTTTAAATTTTCAAACAGGTGTTTTTGATGCTTTTGGAAGATTCCAACAAGAAATCACACATTGCCCCAGGCACCAAGTCAGAGCCTCAGACTCAGAGACCTGCTGGACCTTCTCCCAACTCCTGTGAGTACAGAGCGGGTCTCAAATTTCCACTGTAGGATCCAGGGCCCTGGCCTGGGTGGATAGCCTTAGTTTCAGCGGTCAAATGGCATCCCCAACTGACCAGTGCATGGTGGGTGGGGCAGCGAGTGGGTTTGTAGGAAAACATATAGGAATCTCAGGAGTTTGTCCTGGCTTGAAAAGGACAGCTGTGTGTTTATGGGAGATGTTTTGTTCCATCTTTTCTTCAGATCTTGACTTACCATATCAGAAATTTCCCAAGGAATAGCTAATACTGTCCATCATGTTTCCCTTGCAATGTAAACAAACCAGTGCAGTCTGCACCCCCCGGCCTGCCTGTCATGTGCAGATGCTTGGCAGGCAGTGAGTTAACGTGGTTTAAGAAACTGCCAGATGTGTGTTTGCTTTCACTGGGCTCTGTCTCCAGGGACCCCGTCTTTTGTGTTCAGACCTCCTCCTGTCAGCCTTAACAGCTGGAGAGAATCCAGGCTTGGCTTCCGGGGTGTGACTGCACTCGGATTCAGCCCGGTGCCTGGAGTGTTTATCAGCAGTAACTCAGCAAGCCGGGCTGGAGGGCAGACAGCACGATCCTTCTCAGAGGATCCCTTGAGAGCCTTCAGTCCATCAGGAACTCACCCAGGAATCAGTTACTAGAATTACATAGATTATAATATTTTTAGTAGATTCTTGGTGTTTTCAGCACTATTTGAATGTTGAAATTTATCTCCTTGCTTTCCAGCCCATGCTTTAATGAAGTTTAGCTATATGTCTGTCTGTCTGTCTATCTATCTATCTATCTATCTATCTATCTATCTATCTATGTATCTATGTATCTATCCATCTTCAGAATTGATGTTTGGCTTTACTTTACGGTCCCCTGATGATTATATCAAGCATATCTTCTTTTTGAACAGCTTTTTTGAGATATAATTCGCATACCCTACACTTTAAGTGTACAATTCATTGACTTTTATAGTTGTGCCCTTCCCACCATTATCAGTGTTAGAATTTTTTCATTACCCCCAAAAGAACCTCCACTCTGTGACATGTAGAGTTGCCTCAGTTGCCTCAGAGGTCCCCCCCAGCCTCAGGAAACTTGACATATCTCTATCTCTATAGATTTGCCTCTTCTGGACATTTTATATAAATGACAGCACAGATGTTGTCATAGTTGCTTTTTCTCATTGCTGGGACAAACTGACACCCAAAGTTAAAGGGGGAAAGGTTTATTTAGCTCACAGCTTGTAGAGGTTTCAGTCTATAATCAGCTGGCTCCAAGGCAGGGTGGCATGGCAGACAAGCATCACAGAGGAAAAGTAGTTCATGGTGGGCAGAAGGGAGGAAGCAGCAAGCAGCGAGTGGCACGTGACAAGAGCAGCTTCTTTCTGCCCCTTTATATTCTATCTAGGTGCTACCCTAGGGAGGGCAGGACTCACACCCAGAGCCATGTCAAACCGATCAGTTGACTACCTTAGTAATCACAGGCTTAATCCCAGCTTCACACTCTAGAGCCAGCCACTTCTGAAAAATCCCCCACCTATGGCTTTGGGGGACATCTAGATACAAGTGGTAACAGATACGGACTTTTGCGACCACTTTCTTTTACTCAGCAGAAGTTATTCAAGGTTTATGGACCCAGCAGGTATCAGGACTTTCTTTCTTTCTCTCTTTCTTTTTCTTTTTGTACCGGGGATCGAACTCAGGAGCTTGGGCTTGCAAGGCAGACGCAGTGCCACTGAGCTAAATCCCCAGCCCCAAGACTTTATTTCTTTTGATGGCCAGATAATACCCCATTATTGTGTGTGTATAACACATCTGTATCTTTTCATCAGGTGATGGCATTTGGGTTATTTCCAGTGTCTTGCTATTATGAATATGCTGCTATGAACATTCATGTGCAAGCTGTTTTTCATGGATATACGTTTGCTCGTCTGTCTGTTCCTAGGAATGGAATTGCTGGGTCATCTGTTTAAACACTTGAGGAGTTGCCAGGGAGTTATCTGAAGTGTCTACACCTCGCATTCCCAGCAGCAGTGGAAGAGGGATCTGGTTTCTCTGTGTCCTCGCTAACATCAATGATTCCTAATACTGGCTGTCTTTTCCGTGGTTGTTGGCTGTTAGTAAATCTTTAAAGAAATGTTTGTTAAAGTTCTTTGTTCTTTTCTGAATGGGGTCAGTTTTTTTTTTTTTTCTTTCTGTTTTTGTTATTGTTGTTGAATTGTGGGAATTCTTTATATTTTCTGGATAAAAGTCCCACCACACTCTGCTGTTACCAAATGGAGCGACCTCGTTATATCAACTACATGCATGTTTCCTGTAGTGCTGTTTATTTCTCTGTGTCTTTCCTGGCTTTCTGTCAGGTTGTTTTGTCCACCCTTGAAAATAGCTATTCAAGTTTCCTCCTACTATTGCAGACATGTGCAGTTCAGCTTGATTTCTCTAAGTGTTTGTTCCACATGTTTAGGAGCTCTGATGTTTGCTTTCAATGTATTTATAATTGTTACATCATCTTGGTGAATCGATGCTTTTAATAAATGGAGCATTTTATATAAGGACTTTTATGCAAAGTCCTTTTCATCTCTTATAACTAATTTCCACTTAGCCTATTTGTCTGATATTAGTATAACTAGCCCTCTTCTTTTTCAATTACGATTTACCTGAAATATCTTTTCCCATCTTGTAAGCATAGACTTGTCTGTGCACCTTCTGTAGATAGCATATAGTTGAATCTTGTTTTTTTTTTAAAGCAATGCTGTCAATTTTGATTAGAGACTTTAATCCATTTGTATGTAAGGTAATAATGATAGAGTAGTACTTATCCTGCATTTTGTTTTCTGTATGCTTTATAGCTATTTCTCTTTTCTTCCACTACCAATTTTCATGTATTTTTGATGACATGTTTTGGTTTTGTTCATATTTCCTTTTATGTATAATGTGCAAATTTTTTAGTTTTGTTTAGCAAAGGAATTATGTATAATATCCTTTTATTGTGATAATCTATCTTAAATTAGTACTAACTTAATTTCAATCACGTACAAAAACTATTACTTTATACCTGTACTCTATTGACTTGTATTACTGGTATAAAAATTACATCTTTACATATTAGATATCCCACATAGCTTTAATTATTTTTATGATTTTTGGCTTTTAAGTCCTGCAGAAAATATGAAGTAGAGTACAAAGTAAAATTCAATGATACTGATTTTGTATTTGTCTATGTATTTATGTTTACTAGAGAACTTTTTATTTGAGCTGCCTATGAGTTATTATCTAATATTCTTTCATTTCAACTTGAAAGGCTACCCTTACCATTTCTTGTGGGGTACCTCTCCTAGTCATGTACTTCTCTAGCTCTTGATAGTTTGTAAATGTCTAATTTCTCTTTCATGTGTGAAGGGCATTTATGCAAGATGTAAAGTATCATTTGATAGTGTTTTTCCATCCCTTTGAACAACCATCCATGGCCTTCTGGGAAGCAGGGTTCTTCTGTGATGATTGGCTGATAGTCATGCCGAGAGTCTTTCTTCCTCACTGTCAAGATGCTCCCTTGTCTTTTGACCTTTGGTGGTTTGTTTATAATGTGTCTTTGTGTGGGCCTTTGGGTTTCTACTACTTGGAGTTCATGAATCTTGGGTTTGCTTATCCCTGTTTCCTCAAATTTGGGAAATTTGGGTCTGCTGTTTTCTTTCTCTTCTCTTTCTGTAAATTTCAAAATTCAGGTATTGTTCTCTTCTTGCACTCTATCTCTTTTACTTCTTTGTAAGAACAAAAATTTGTTTCTCAGACTCAATAATATTATGTGACTGTCCTTTCTTTCATTGATTCTCTTTTCTTCCTGCTCAACTCTATTCTTCAACTCTTGTAGTTTTTTTTTTTTTAAATTCAGTTATTATACTTTTTAGTTCCAGACTTTCTGTTTGGTTCTTTAAGATTTTTTAAATAACTTTAATTTCTGTGTGGATATTTTTATGTGGTTCATGTATTGCCTTCCTGATTTCCATTAGCTCTTCACTCATGTTTGTCTTCCGCTCTCCAAGAATATTTAGGACCATTGTTTTCAAATCTTTACCGGGATATGTGCCTTCAGAGACTGTTTCTGAGCATTACTTTGCTCCTTTGCAGGGAACAGGCATCCTTGTTTTTTTGGGGTGTGTGTGTGTGTTTGTGTGTGTGTGTGATCATTTACTAAAACTTGGCATTTGGTAAATCAGCCACTCCTCCCCATCTTTGTAGACTGGAATGGAAGACATTTGCCCTTTAGTGGTTCCTGAGTCTTGAGCTCAGCCTGGGAAAAGGTTTGTGGACTTCTCAGTTCTTTTCTGGGCTTGTGTCCTGTCTGAGCCTCCATAGACACATACTCTTCTTCCTACCAGTTTCTCTTGGCCACTTTTAAGTGCTTTAGTTTCTCAGTGACTCTTACCCTAGCCCATTTCGAAGTTTCAGATGCCCTGTTGTCCCTCATCCCCTCACTCTCTCATCCCCAGGGTCTGTGACTCTGCCACCCTCCTCACTTTTTGCATGCTCTTTGCCAGCTGCTGCTTTCGGTGGTTTCCAGACCAGATCTAAACTTGGTTGCCATTCACATGTTGTCTCCAGGTCAGGTGGGAAAAACCAGTCCCCCGACAGTGCACAGCCAGGCCAGGACTTCAGAAACAGTTTCCACATTGCACTTTTTGTCCTGAAGGAGGGATGAAGGCATCAGGCCATTTCCTTATAACCCCGCCAATGAGGAGGGTAGGGGCTGCCATACAAAACCCCACAACTGCCATTTTGTGTGTGGTTTTCTTTTCCTGTTTTCATTGGGGGGAGACTAGGAGTTTGCTTGGTTGCTTAGATACTTGGCTGATTTCCAGAGCTCCTGTGGAAATGTGTTAGCTGCCCATGGTTGTTCATTTGTTGTCTCCATGGGAGTGGGGGTCCGAGTCCTAACCTACTGTCTTCCTGCATCACTCTTCTCTTGATTGTTTTAAGGGACCATTTTTGTGATTGAATATTTTGAC